AAAAAAAAAGAAATCGAGTAATAATGAGTTTTTGAGGATCATACCGTCGTAAGCATATCGCTGCTAACAACGAGTACCACCAAAGGTCTTCCGCTAATGCTGACAGAGTTCCAGGAAGCATAGATGTACTGTAGCTCGGAGCTCCATTCATCCATAAGGATACGGATATCGTACATCAAATGAGATCGGCGACTATCCATGAACTAAAAACCAAAATTATGCCCCGCGCATCAATCTCAAACAATATGGCCTACCTGAGGGGTAAAAATCACAAATTTTTGCCCGATCTGATACAAACGACTGGTACTTAGCAATCCCACATCCCTGTCCAAAGGTCGTCCAGTCAGATTGAGCCTCTTCGATTGTCCAATCCTTAAAATCAGCAAATACTTTGACTGGTAAGTTGCCAAATGACACAGCAAACCTCGAGTGAATCTCAGCAAGAGACGATGCGGGGAGAATTGTGAACACAGGGTCGATTTCATCTATGCGTTGGACAAGGATACCATTAGAACGCAGTTCTCGCTGTACCTCGCTATTTGCAGCCAGAATAGTGACTAAAAAATTTACTAACTAGCATACTGACGGACACTCGTGTGTATAAAATCACCTTGCACTTCACATGGCGGACGCTTCTGATGAGCTGACAATCTTCGACTCAAAGGATCAAGTTCAGCCGGTGTCAGAAATCCTTCGTAGAGCAGGCAACAAATGACATATAACGATTGCGCCCAGAGGAATGGCCTTAAAACAAAGTAGCCTTGTTATAAGAACTGTAATTTATGCTAACTTTGTCATAAACGGTATTCTTGAACGTTTTCCAAGTAGATTCAATGGCAAATCGAATGAGAAACGACCCTTTTACACCGCTATAGTATGCTACCGTAACCGATCCACAATGTGAGCAGTATGCTACCAAGACTCTGCTCCTTTATGTCGCTGCGATGCAGGTAAGCTACCGTACCCTGATTTCAAAGTCAAAATGCCAGTTTTCAAAAAAGTGTATGGGTACTAGCTACCGCCTCTAATCGAAAAAACGACTCTACTATTTCGTGTTCCAAGAAAAAACAGAGCAAAAAAAA